TAGTGGCGGGGGGGTAGATATGCATATTCAGCATATGCTGATGCGCAAGATTGGCTTTTTCTTATCATAGGGTGGCTAAACCTAAGATATTGGGGCGATGACGTGATTCGCCTTGGAGGGGTAACCAAAGCACAGCTACTCCAATAGCTTCTGCATTCACCCTCGCTAGGATCTGCCAGACTGAAGCTTATGCTCGCCTCTATAGTATCACTTTATTTCTTGAAGAAGATCTGTGTCAAATCGCTTGCAGAGTGACATGAACGCCCCATAACACCTTATGCGCGTATCTTGGTTCTGGGTCGTCTTAGATCGGGACTTTGGCTGTAGATCGAAGGCATCCTTTAGCGCACCCATCAGGTCATCCACCCTAGGTGATGTCTTATTGGCTCTTTGCTTGATGGGCCGCGACTTGTGCAGGCAAGCTTGCTAGAATTGTCACCTCATAATGACCAAACTGCGGCTATGTCATGAGGGCTACACCCTTCTTAGAGCAGGATCTATTCCGCTTCAGCGTCTTCGAATAGAGTAAGTAGGACCCTCATTATATACAATCAACGTCTGGCAAGTACGAAACCCCAGCTCTATCTTTGTTACATAAATAATTCGGGCCATATAACCTGCTTTGCAATTATATCGATATCATCTGCCCTCTATAAATCTTGTTGCATCGAGACCCGCCGCCGTTATTTCGTGCGACACATTTCACAACAATTCCCCATAGCACAAGGTCCCCATCAAATGGATTCTATGTTAAGCGGTTTTGCCAGCGACTTAGATCAGGAGGTAAGATAAGCCAATCCCTAGTAATTGGACATTGTTCATTAGCTAAGAAGCCGATCTTGTCTACTAGCCGATTTTCAGGGTTCCCAGCAAGGCTTTGCGAGACCTTAGCTAACGTAAATTATCTCTCAGGCGCAGATGTGCTCTCCTTTAACCCCTACATTCGAAGATGTTCCAGATGCTCGGTACCCTATGTCATCGTTGGAAGCAGCAGACTCTCGATTAACCATCCAGGGTTACTACGGATCATCTGATCAGTATTGCAACGTATCCACCGATTTTTCATATCCTACCAGTGGAAAGCCCTCCTCCCATTCTGGAGATTATGTCGCCTTGGGAGGTGACCTCTTCCCCGATGGATATGGCCAGATCAACCGACAGGCGTGCTGGCCAAATACAGATATTGCCGAGGCTAATGAGCTTACATACGCGTCCGTGACGCTATCTAGGTCCTCACTACATGGCTACAGTGGAGACCAGGCCACGGACACAAGCCCAAATGGCAATTATGTATTGCCGTCTGTGCTGAATGCTGGCACTGATCCGGACTCGCACTGGCCGGTCGGTCAAGACGCATCAGAGAGGGCGTGCATCATGGAAGAAGCCAACCGATACGAAGGTACGTGCCCTAAGGAAAACAAGGTCGACACAACGGATCTTCGTGGTACCGAATCATCTAAACCACCATCGAGGGACAACCCTTCGAGAGGTCTGCAATCTAGCCACGATCGCGCCGACGGATCCTCTCCAGAATTCAAGGAGAGGATTGGACCCATGACTTCTAGTTCCGGAGCCGGCGAAAATCCTATTCATCTACGAACCGCCTCCCGCAGAGCCAAACGAACCTCCACGTCATATAAGCCCGCCACTTCGCCTGAAGAACAGAGGGCACGTAGTAGCCACAATCAGGTCGAAAAGCAATATCGCAGCCGCCTCAACCACCAGTTTGAGCGCCTCCTTGCTGTCCTGCCTCCGCCAATTGACAGGGATGAGCGGGTCGATGGTGATGATGTCCCGAAGGATTCCGACCGAAGGCTTAGCAAAATGGAAGTACTCGAGATAGCGCAGCAACACATCCGGATGCTAGAGAAAGAAGCGTTGGAGCTAGATCAAGAAAGGCTAGAATTGATGAGTAGTTTGGGGAGAGTGACCGGAGTGACGAGGAACGGCGGCAGCGGCTATGGCACGACTGGCAAGTGAGGCAGGACCCGCAGGGAAAAAGGCGTTTACGATGTGGCTACGACGAGGATGGCTACAGTGGGGTGGGGTTCACCGTGATGCAAGCTACTCAGTAAAGTTGCATATCTTTCCTCCTTGAACCCTGGAGATCACCGGCATGCGGCATTGCCTCGTGTCGATGATCTACCGGCGATGCAGTCTTACGGTCTCGGGTTTTCGATGTTCAGATAGCTTTACAATTATTTTTAATCACTAATATACATATTTTCTGCTTGGATATACTGGCCTTTCCCTCGTGTCTTTCTCGCTAGAAACGTTGCTTTTGAAATATACACACGCTTTCAGTTGCGCTAAGATAATTTAAATCATGCCCCAGGGTGTTTTCAGGCCGAAAATTTCGGAACGTGAGTACTTGCAAATAAGAAAATTTCAGTAAGCTTCATAGAGGAACTTTGGGCGAAATGGGGCTGACACAAACAGCGTGTGGCAGAATCTCTCCACATTAGCCCGCTGCTTCAATGAAACTGATGGATATGCAGTAACTATTTCGACCCCGATTTTCCCTTCCACTTAGTGAATTCTAGCAGGGATAGGTATCCGGACAACTTTCTATCCAATTGGTCTCTTGCAGATGTTGGGCGTTCTCATATAGGCCCGTCTTGTTGTAAAGCAAGTATTAGACCTTGACAATGATGGGCGTATGACTAGATTAGATCAAGCAAAGGTTCAGCGTCGTCCCTTCAAATCCGGATGAGCTGTATACCGTGCTCATTGGAGGGACGATTCTAAGTGGCTGTTCTTTTCGACTGGTAAGAACGAAGAAGAATCGACGAGAGAATGCCTGTCGTTTCAACTTTAAACCGTCATGGAATGAGGAAGCTAGCTCGTAAATACGTAGCTTGTCGCTTATGGAACGTATGAAAGCCCCCCGCTCCCGAACTATCTTCTCCTCTACGATTTGATTTCTCACCCTGTCGCGAGTTGACTGGCGACACAAGGTGGACGTGCCAGTGAGGAATGAAAAGCACAGAAGGGGGGGAGGAGCTCGGATGAGCAGGGGACTCTTTAGTGGGTAGATATAACGCAAGCTGTCCCAGGAGGCTGCAGGCTGTGAGGTGATAAGTTAAGCACCAGTCCACACTGATTGCGGCCCAGTACTGTACCTTGCCAGCGCCAGGTCAAAATAGAACAATGACTTAACAATGATAGGCGAGTCGCACACCAGAGCATGTTAGTGAGGGTTGCACTACCACTTGCTAGGCGCTCCTCGCTTCAGCGGTCTAGCGACGCACGCAGCAAAGCCTAAGAAGCGGGGTAAAATTGCTTGTGGAAGACCTAGTAGAATTGAGAACTAATAATGATCAACGGCTGTCCTTCGCTCCCCAGTTCCAGCTTGCCACTTCTCCGGAGGGCAATACACATTCAGGCGCAGCTCCGTCGTCCTCGTTCTGATCATCCTTAGGGTACAAAGAGTGCATAGCCTTTAAATATTCCCTAAAGAAATATTCCAGCTATAGTTGAACCTTACTGATCCTTTTGGTAATATCAGCCATTTCCTATTAAATTCTGGCGATATCCCTGACCATCTCTTGCTCCTCCATAGCGAATTCGTCTACGGATCGCGGAATTGTGGAGACGGTCTCTTGTGTATTCTTCGCAATGCTTAAACTCTGGTAGTTCTGCGTCAACATATCAACCTCTTCCTCTTGTTCGTTCTTCCATTCTTTACCATGGGTTCCACGCCGTTTCTGTGCCTCGACTCCAGAGTTTGACGATCCTTGAATCATTCGGAAGTCCATAGTAAGCATACTTTCATAAAGTCCTGTTGCTGCATCAATACCACGTCGGCGAGCCGCTAGTTGCCGGACTGCATCATTAAATTGTCTCTCAAGATCGTCCCTTTGGTAAACTGGACTAGCCAACTCCTCAAACCGCTCCAGATCAACTTGTGGGTCCCTCTCGATCTGTCCACTCTGCTTACCTTTGCTGTGCTTGGATGTATGCTTTCGACGCCTTTTGTCTGGCACCCTAAGGCATAATTAGCGAGGTTCATTATGGTGGATTGCTACTGTACTTGTTTGTGGCTGAAAATAATTGGGGGCAGTTTTCTACTACTGTGTCCTGTGAGGGTGGACGCCGAAGAAGTGACTGAACATATTCGGGAGGAAGGGATTGCAGATAGGATATATGCCTCCAATTCTCATGACGAGAAACTCAAAAATCAATGGCCAAGTGTCAGTCTAAGCCGTGGTGCGGTCATGTCCATTTTAATACACCCCACACCGCGCGGGATCTAAGCGCGTGTGGCATATTTAGGCTCTTGAGTGAGATCTCAAGAAGCCTAGGTAGGAATATTGGCGAGGAATAGTGTAGAATGTAGATAAGCTCATCCAGCAGAAGTGGATATTGACGTTGTCGGCACATGCACAGAAGCCACGACCAATGCTCCGCCATACAGACAAGAAAGTCGGCGACCGAGTCTCATCAACTAGGCTAAACCATGTTCGTAGGGCACCCGGTAGCCAGCCACCCTGTGTCCATCCTGCTTAGCGGCAGTTTAGCGCCTGTTAAGGCGGCAAGGGTTCTGCCACTCCCGAGGTCAAGATTCGGGAAGCATTACAGTACCAATTATGCACCCTCAAAAGGATGACGGGGTCCGACTCCAACTTGAAAATTTAAAGTGTGGTCTGTGCGAGCACTAAGCTGGAGCTAAATTAGGTGACTGTCTGACAGCGCTCGCTAACGTTAGCTTAACTTGACATGCATGTGCACTTGACGTCGTTTTTTTGGCGTGCCAATCAAAGCGCCAATCATACAACTTCTGTTAAGCGCACGGACCAGCCACTGTCCTCGTCCTCGTCCTCGTCCAATTTTGCTCCACTGAGAAGACAGATGGCGCCTCATCAGGGACTGCCTCTGCAACTGCAATACCGTCTTCGCGTCACAAAGCGCATCGACTCCGCTCCGAGTCCGAGTCCGAGTAAGAACGAGTACCCCCGAGTCCAAAGTCCAAGCCTCTGACGACGACGACCGCGATGACGATGGACGAGCTTCACAAGCAGAAGCAGACGCAGAACTCTGCTGCTCTCCCACTGATCACAGACGCGAATGCGAACGCGGACACGAGCGTGGGTGTGGCCGCAAAGGTGACGGTGGAGGAGGCAGCCGCCGAGATGGCGGTTCAGACAGACACACCTGCAAAGACAGTCATCTTGACTCCGACGGCTGAGGATATGAAGGAGGCTTAGTTCGTCAACTTCAACCACCTCATCAGCGCCTCCGACCAGTATGGCCTCGTGGCGCGTTTCCTGCCCGCGTCCGCCCAGCTGTTTCCCAGCACCACCTTTGTGGCCGCCCCCAGCATTGCTGCCCTTGTGCCCGGCAGTCACCCCGTCTCTGCGGCCTGGAACAATGATGATGGCGTGTGGATCGATCAGCTCTGCGCCATTCTCAACACCTACAAGGTCGACTTCACCATGATCGGCCTCTTCCGAATTGCTGGCCTGTGCCGTATCATCTCTGCCGACGACACTGGTGGCAGCGATGACCGACCACCAGCCATCGTCATCGCCATCTCCCCACGTTCCTTGTCTGTCATGTCTGCCCGCCAAGTTGTCGGTCAGATCTGCCTCCTGCTGCAGAGGTGAGCTTCTCCTCGGGCCCTCCATTCCCATCCCATCCCCATGCCATTCAACCATACATACTAACGGTGTCTATAGCTTTGGATTCCACCAATCGGTCCTTGTCGAGCTTGTCGAGGGCATCTACACGCCCTACCACACTCTCACAGACGAAGCCAAGGCCAGCAAGAGATACCTCGACGACCAAGCCGTGAGTTTCGAGGATACCTACCGCGTCCATCCGTACCCTGGTACAAGCATCGGGCCTTCATCACCCAGCAGCAGCTCTGGAACACTTGGGTGCTATCTGAAGCTGGTACGCCGCCTTCCTGACCACAATAACAAGGAGCAAGTCAAGTACCTTGCCGTCACGACCCATCATGTCCTCTTTCCTGGTAAGCTGCCTTGGCCAATCACACACATCACTCCACCGGATGTTCGTGCGGGCGGGCGTGCGTGATCGAACTGCTAATGACCACGAATAGAACACACCCGATCCGTGGCCGGCTACACCTCGAACCTTCCAACAGTCGAGCAGCCGTCTCCTGCGGATTCAGAGCGGTGGGTGGCAAGCTTGCGGGAGCAGGTTCGGTTGCTAGAGTTGTACACAACGACCAGCATCAAAGGCGACGACTTTGGTAACATGGCTCTCCGCGACTTTGGCGCTGACTCTGATTTCCATCAGTCTCTCGGTGAAGCGCGCCGTCGACTGGGCGTTGCGGAGAGCATGTCGCGATATCTTGGGCTCATCCTGTGCTCCTCTGGAATCAACACGTATACGTCTAGTCAAAAAGAGTCGGTCAAATCTCATCTCGACTGGGGCTTGGTGGAGATTGACGAGTCTCGTCTTCCTCCTGATCCTGACGCAACCGTCAATGTAAGAGATCCATTCCCCATCTCATCCATTCAAGCCCTCCTTTTCCTTTATCTCTCTTTCATAGTTATTCGTTTTCATGTTATTTTGGGAGTCTCAAGTTTACTAATCTCCTGCCATGATAGGCCCCAGCCCCATTCGTCTACAAAGAGGCCGGCCCCAAAGTAGCCAAGTACGGCTACAACCAGAACAACGAAGGCCTCGTATACAAGATTGGCCGGACTACAGGAGTGACCATTGGCAGATTTGCCGGCAGCCATATCCTGTTGCGTACGACCAGTCGCTCAGACCAGCCCGTCAGCTCCGCGCCGGAGCACCACGTCCTTGTCGAGCAGGCGATCGTGCCGGACCAGCCGGGCGCCGACTTTGCCTCGTTCGGCGACTCGGGCGCCGTGATCCGCGACTTTCGCCAGCGCCCTGTCGGCCTCCTCTACGGTGGCCTGGAAGCGGATGATGCGTCCAAGCCCACCAACGCCAACGCCACCGCCGTCGCCGCCACGACCATGACTGACCTCAATGTGGTGTTCCACCCGCCGGGCGTCCTGCTGCGCCACATCTACCTCTACACGCCCTTCGACGCGGTGCTGGCGAGCATGCGTGGCGCGATGGCCGAGCTGTTCGGGGATGGCGTGTGCGAGCTTTCGTGGATCTCTTGAGCCGAGACGGTAACTGGAACGGGGACGGAAACGATGGAGGAAGATAGACGCGTGTTGGAAATGGTGTGGTCCACGTGTTATTAAATAGTTTATTACCCGATAACTATTACAGTCAGTTAGCATAATTACTTTTGTTGCAAACTGGGCGTTTATTACCTCCAGCACTTGTCCGCCCTTTCCGCCCTGCCCGCCCTGTCCTGCGACGGGCTCCTTGCCAGCGGACTCATGGTGCGGCAATAATATAGTTTAATTTTACTAGTTATTATGTCCTTGAGAATGGGTCAGAAATGGGAAGATTTTCATCTCCGTGCGAGACAGAGCGATGCATGTCAACGCCAACCGCCCTTCGTCGGCTGGCTGGCTGGCTGGCTTTTTAGATACGGGGTGATCGACGTATCGTTTGTTTGATTAGGCTAAGATAGAAAATAGGTAGGTAGGTAGGCAGCGGAGTACACTAGGTGCTGTGCAGGCATGTCTAGCATGGCCGACAAGAGTACACATATAATCGCAAGCAAGCTCGATAGAAAGGGCGGAACTGAGCGACGAGGCGAGATGAGGCAGCTTAACCGTCGTCTGCGCGCCAGAAAAGAAACAAAGGCTATGTGCTACTGACTGCAACCGGGCGGCCAGGATCACGGCAATTAATTAGGTATCAGGAGGCAAGGCAATCTAGCGACGAGACAGATTTAATTAACTTTTAAATTCCTTTTACAGACCGTTTCAATTACAGGGTATCAAATCGCTTCCTGAACGCCAAATCGCTTCCTGAACGCCAGACAGCGAGTAGCTCAACTCGTGACAAAATAAGGCGGGCTGGAAGACCTCGGATGGGAGATGGAAGATTCGCACATATGTCCCTTGCAAACTCCCTCCCCTACCCCGTTCGCCCTCGTCTCTAGGCCACTTAGCTGCTACATGCCCCAAGCTTGATTGCGACTGTGACTCCTGAGTCCGAAGGCTTTCCCAGCAGCCGGCGACTTTACTCATCAACCACACACCCACCCCCTTTCCCCAATTGCCTTTCTTTCTAGACCGATTTTATCAATCAAGGAGTCTTGTTCACAAGGTCCCCTTCCAAAAGATGAACGCAAACTCCTGGAGGTCCGACTCGGTGATGACAAAGTCCACTTCGGCCGGGCTGGCCGGCTCGCGCAGGAAGAGATCTCGGAATGCGATGGACATGCTCTTGTCCTTGTCGTCGGCGACTCCCCCCTCGGTCACAACAACTTTGTAATCCTCCTTCTGGGCACCGGCATCGCCACCCCCAAGCAAAGAAGGCCTTCCTCCAGCTTTGGCGGTCGCTGCCTTTCCGAGCTTCTCCTCCGTGGTGATCTCGACCCTCTTGACGAGCACGGGGACGACGGCCATCTTGGACGCGCGGGGGGCCGCGGACGCGGAGGGCGTGAGAGGAGGTATGATGGCCTCTGTTGGGAACGAACCCCGGTCTTTCCACAGCTCAATGGCAATGGCCTGCTTGCTGCAGTCGAGCTCGGGGAGAAGGACAGCCTTGACTGCACCGCCCGAGTTCTGGAGCCACCATTGGGCCGCGACGCGAAGTGTGCCGGTCGAGGAGCTGTCGCCCGCCTCGATGACGAGCGTTGGGGGGTCGTCGAAGCCCGGTCGTGTGGTGCGGGGCCGGAAGGCTGCGTCAGCCTCCTTGGATGATGTGATATGCATGGTTAAGGAGCGGTCGGAGTTAGAGTTGGTGGTGTGCTGTTGTTCTTGATGTTGCTGTGTGCCCAAGACCGTGTTGGATGCCGTGATAGATCGGTGGTTCGAGGCGTCGGAGATAGCATGATAGCGTGCCGCGTGGACGCCCGCAAGCTCCTTAGACAGGCCTGCCGAACGGGCCCAGTCCTTGACGTACTCGGTGAGGTCCGAGTGTAGAATCTCATGGGGAGGCCCCACCATTTTTAGAACCAGGATGCTGCTGTCGGCGAAGTAGAAGGCGACGTGGAAGCCGATGTCGAAGCACTGCTCATCAATGAAGCGGAGGACTTTGGTGGTAACACCGCTCACAATGCAGTAGTAGATGCTGCTGCTGGAGCTGGAGCTGGAGCGGGCAAAGCTCTGGGAGCAGTCTTCAAGATCGTATCGAAGCGCACTGGTGGTGGAGAAGCGAATGCGACGGCATGAATCAAGACCGTAGAGCTGCGTAGATTCTGGAGTAAGGGCATATGTTTTTGATCAGCAGGCTGTAAATACGGTGCCATGAATGGGGGGGTTGAAGGATAAGTGCAGAGGTGATGAGGTGGTAGTGGACGAGGAAAGCAAAAGCAAGTTGTGTTCTTGCCGTTGCTGCCCTCCTCGTGATTTCTGTGTCTTCGGACTGAGAGATTGAGGAAAAAACACAAGGAAGGATCTGAGCGCAAACGCATCGAGAGACCAGTCCCAGTCCTGCTCCTCTTGGGCGCCTGAGGGAAGATACGTTGCGTGGAGCGTCAATTGAATGGTGGGAGACGCCCCAATCGCGATACAGTCTTTCGTTGCTTGGTCTACTTGTGCTTTGGCAGGAAACGGGATGCGGAATGCGGCGGCAGTACTGACATCGTCTAAGGCATTGTGGTCGTGACTGTTGAGCGATGTGGATGGCAGACCCACGTGACGACGAGAAGGTGAAGGTGAGAGCGAAGGCGAAGGTGGTGGTGAGGGTGAACGTGACGGTGTGCAGGTGCCGAGGATGACCATTGTGATGGTGTTGATACGCCGTTTGAGTCGCGTCACGCAGAATGACAAGGCAGGCAGTCAAAGAAGTGCGGCTGGGGCGTTTCTTGTGATAGCTTCACGCTTGCTTGGGCACAAGGAAACAGCCGCAGCCGCAGCTGCATCGAGTCTCGAATCTCGGATATCGAATATCTGGTATCGAGTCTCGAGTCTTGAGTCTTTCTTAGGACGGGGCGATGAATGGCGAAAGAAGATGTGTGAAGTTTGTGGAGGGAACGAAGAGGGTCTCGTGGGTGGACAGTGGACTTTCGAGCGGCGCACAGGCCCAAGCACGTGACCACGCTCTTCACTTGCATGTGCAATGGAACCCCACCACAACTCAGCCCTACAGCCCTACAGCCCTACAAGTGGACCCTCTAGTTTTCCTGGGTTCTACATCTCCACCTTTCGCACCAGAAAATCTGATCCAAAGTCCGGCAAGCTTTTGGGCAAAGCCTCGACAAAAGCGACGTCGTTGCCTTCACCACCACAATCCATCATCGTCAACACCGACAACGACGACGACAATCCACCCGGATCGTGCGATCGATCTAAAGCAGCCACTCAGGCCAAAACACAAAACGCGTCCCTTGCGGCGGTTCGGCAATATGTCCCTCCCCACCAACGTCGAGCCGTTCTCCGCCCTCAACCGCCATCACCATCGCCTTTCCCCTCACACTCGAACCAACACTCGCATCCACCTCGCCCTCACCATGGAGGAGGTCTCTCCAGTCCAGACTTCCCACACAGCCCCCAAGGGCGTACTAGGTGCCCTCGCAGAGAGGCTTGGCTTAGGTACGTACACTACTCGCGATGAATGCGCGCGCACGCGTCGAAACTCTCCAAAGACTGATTGTTTTTGCCCGTACGCAAATAGCTATCCACAGAGCCGTCCAGTTCCAGAGCCAGCCGCAGCCTTAGACCGGCCCGGCTGTTGGTCCCGGCGGCGTGGTCCTACAGGCCAGCAATGGCCTTATCTTCCAGATGAACGGCGTCATCCAGGACGGCGACGACGCACAAACACGCATAGCCATAATCGCCAGTTTGGATGATATGCTCTACCGCCAGAAGGGCCAGGACCATCTCGCTCACCATTGTAGCATCGTGCTTATTGGTGTTATGGGTGCTATCTTGTGCGCCATCTTTTGGCTCGGCAACTCCTGTCGCGTATAGAGATATTCATTCGTTGGATCGATCGTTCCGTTATGTGAGCCTCCCGCCCCTGAACTTTCGGCAACGTCTGCTAATGATGATCATCTAGATGCAGTAACCCCTGTCGCCTTTCGCGTTTGGTTGGTTGGTTGGTGTATCGCGGATGGCTCGGATTGATTAGTTGATTTGTCTTTCGGGGGACAATAATTGATGGATAGTTCTTTCGCAGACTTGCAGCATAGCCAACAATCTCCTCTTTTTCTGCTGTGCATCGTGGACGTTCGACGTGAGCTTCTTTTGACTGGAGCCAACGCTCGCTCATCTGTGTTGCCCACACAGTTGAAACACTCTCGGCAGTCTCGTGCTTGGAAAACATCCTGTGTCGATAGCTACGCATCGTCTATTGAATTTCACACGAGCACTCTCTACTCACACAAGGATCCCTCTTGATAGCTATGTCTCCTTTTTGGCCTTGTTGGTCGCCGTCGCGCGTTACAACTCCAGACTCCTGGGGAGCCAATGCGGCAAAAAAGCCCCCCGAGCTTCCATTTGCGACGATTCAGCAGTACTTCACTCCTTGAGGGCCCGTTCGGATTTCTTCGTCTCACAGGCGGTCTTATTCTATCAAGGTTAGGCTAGATTAAGAGCTAGACGGCATGATTTGAGTCGAGTTGAGACCGGGAACATCGTCGAAGGCTCCCACCAACGACGGATCAAGAACATAACATGATTCATCGACGAATCACTCACGCGACTTAGGTGGCATGGCTTGATTTACAATGCCAAAATTAGATGTAGCAGTCGTTGACACATTCCTACGTTGATAGATCGCCAGAACTATGCGTACAAGGCTACGATCATCGAGAATTTTTGAGATCAATAGTACGCTGGAAAATCAAGTTTCAAAGGAGAAACATGGCAGATTTCGCCATGTTTCTCGCACCACCAGCAGACCAGACACGCCACTCACTCCAAACCACGATCCTTGCCCAATTACTTACTGCCAATCCCCATCCGTAAGGCCCTATTAATCGTCTTCGCATTCATGAGCCGCACTAACAACTTACTATTGGAATCAAAACAAAATCGCCAGCGGAAGCTTGAAAAGGGCGTTGCCGCGGACGGCCAGTTGAGTAGGTTGGCTCCCATCTCCGAAAACTCGAGGCGCTGCTATCACCAACATTAGCCCACGCCCAGCCGCTCCATCTCGACGACCCGCGACCGCAGAACGCTACGCTGCCTTTTCTCCCCCTCATCATAGTTCTTGAACAAGCTAAATGGAAACTATTCCTGGCCTGTCAACGGGAATACAACATAGTGTAATCGCGCTATTGATCCAGTTGCAATATCAAAATCCACTATGTGAACTATATAAATTATCTGAGAAGTCGGCGTCTGGTACTCAAAGACCTTTGCTGCCTCTTCTGTCAGAGAGAACACCCTCTTTTCGTTTTCCCAAACACAAGCAATTTCTAACTCATACGACATGCTTAAGTACACAATGTATAGAGATATATTGTGACTGGGGCCCTTTTCTTCGCGCAACCCTTTTCTTCGCGCAACCCTTTTCTTCGCGCAACCCTTTGCGTCCAAAACCCTTCGTGACTCCGACTCTTATTTCAGCTCTCCGGACACGCTCTCCTGATCCACCAAGCCGTCCTTGTCGGAAGCAAAGTATCCAGTCAGGTCCATCACACCACTGACGCATAGTTCGTTGTCGATAGGCGTGCTGTTAACCCAGACCAAGATCTGGTAGGTAAAGACACGTTCTTGAAACTGTGTGACGTACAATATCTCGCTCTGAGCCGTGATGCTGGACCCGGGAAGCCATTCCCCTTGACAGTGCTGGGCGGTTGACCATTCGCAAAACTGCACACGTCTTTTGTAATCTGGGTTACCCCATATCGAAGTGTTGGCCCAGACTTGGATAAATATGTCTTGCCAATCTGGGATGTCATCTTGTATCCACAACTCGGTGTTCCAACTCACTGCGACTTCGTGGGGTGGAGTCCTTGGAACATGTGTCAGAATCGACTCTTGCTTACAAGACACCTGTTGTAGATGCTCCATCGTTACAGTCTCGAGGTTGGGTTCTAGCTTACTTGACCACTTTGAAATTCAAAGTATGAACTTCAAAGGAATTCTCCACAGGGTTTGTACAATATGTCATATTGTTGTTGCCTGGAACGGGTCCGAAATCCCTCGATGCGCCAGAAGCTGCCACGAATAACAAACTCGAGAGGTAGTACAGGTGCATGTTGGGCAAGACTAATGGCCGTTCTTTCCGTTGGGCGATGTGCGTCCGAATTGCTGAATCCTTCTCAGGCAGTGTAAAAATAATCTCGATTAACAAAGGACACAAGCTCAAAAGATCTAAAGTTGTTTTTTGAACAGAAGGATGTGGCTGGAATGTTTACTATGCATTCCTCGCCCCATGCTAGGAATGTCCCTAACACTAGGCTAATTACTCCTGGAAGTGTCTACAATTTTGCTGTTGGTTCTATAAAATCACACCGGGGTTGTAATAACCTCAAGCATAGGGAAATTCAAAGTATACCAAATATTCTCACTTGAATTTTGTGACAAAAGAGAGCCCCGCTAAGCCTAGTGGTAAGCTCCCT